AAATAATTCTGCTTTGGATAACCAAGTAACATTACCATCACAAGTACTATCAAGAGACAAGCTTTCTCGTCTCAGCCGAGTCGAGTTCTGCAAGATAAAAGGTTACATTGATTACTCATCTGCTAAGACAGCATTGTGTTTCTGACAGATTGGCTGGAATGTAGCTAAAAGTACATTGACCGCATGTAAAAACCTACCACGTAGGTAGGATGATATGTGCCAAATTATAAGAAATGTTGACAGCGTCGGTACAATTCCATGTGGCTTTGGTTGTAGAAGTGCACATGTCAGAGGAACAGGTGACAACTTTGGCACATGAAGTGTTTTCTTTTGATGCTACAAAGGGGGTGTAGAGGGAAAACGCATCAATGGGCAGCATTTTTGTTGTTCACCCCTAGTCAGGAGAATTAGAATTAGAATATGGTACTTAATGACAGTGGCATTCAACCACTGTCCTAACCAAGTGTCATTAGTAATGTCACAAAGTTCTTTATAGACAGGAATTAAGCAAGTTCCTAGTAATTCACACATAGCATATGCCTCCTGCAGACAGAAGTGAGAGACGTACACAATTTCCACCAACCTTTCCCATAAGTAACTTGCTGATGGGCATGGCAATCCTCTTGAGCCTCTGCGACACCTATTGGAACCACTCCAAGAATAAGAACACAACACAACAGCGTCACAGAGCTGGCATTCAGCTGTGAGATAATGGCTGCTAGAAAAGTTTCAGCAGTTTCCAGGATCTGCTGCTGCACTCATCGTCTGTATCATCCACCAAGTAAGTTTGGGATGAGTGCCTTCAGGTCGGGCCTGGCGCTTCCAGAGACATGCAGTCATCTGATCCTGCTCCAGGGCCATCATTGGGTTGAATTCTGGAATTGGGTTCTGCAGGTTGCGATGCCAACTCATTCTTCCCACAATATGGCCTCACACACCAAGCCGTGGTCCACAAGGGACCTGTGGTACAGCAGCATAGGTGTGACCCCATGTTAGTAAAGGGGCTGGTCCCTCCCACTGAGGGTCGGGAGGTTGCTTATAAGTCACCAGCAGCTGTTCCATGGGGATTTTTTTATGAAAGTGTTTCTCTACTGGCGACAATGTATGCTGACCTGCAGAGACAGTTAAATGACTTAATATTTATTGACTGACTGACTGACTGATTGATTGATTACATTTCTATCCCATCCATTTAGTCGTTTCAACTACTCTGGGTGGCATACATCAAACACAACAAAGACAATTAAAATAACATCAACATCCAAAAATAACATAAATAATCGTTCAAGATGGAAAACAAAAATAAATAATAGCCGGAGAGAAGGCCTGCCTAAACAGCCATGTTTTAAATTGGCTTTTAAGGATACCCAGCGAAGGGGCTGGGTGAATAATGCTATTGATACTACATCTGGAACATCTTGGGGCTCAATCTCTCTGTTTTTTGTTTGCTTGGAAAGGAGAAATTTAAAAGAGCGGTGTGCTCGTTCTACAATAGCCTACCCTTTGCAGTTATAAGGAATACCATGGGAAAGTCAAATGTCCCATTCATTGCAGAAAGTGGTAAAGGGGTGAGAGGTACAGACATGGCCATTGCCTGTTTTTAAGGCTTGAGGCCAGCCCATAATTGCAAACATACATAAACAATGTTGTATGACATGGTGAGAGGTCCTGCCATGAAGAGGGGTAGCCCAGATGTATCCTGAATAAGTATCAATAGTTAGATGAACATAAGAAAGAGGTGCAAGAGTAGGAACATGAGTGATATCCATTTGCCGTAGCTGACCCACCAGTTCCTCATGGGTTAACAGCATCAAAAGGAAGGGAAATGGGAGACATGGAACTGTCTGAAGGTTGTTTGTAGTGGGTTTGGGAGCAAACTACACCAGAGCACAGAGTGCTGTCCTCTGAAGATGCCGGCCACAGAGATTTGTGAAACGTTAGGAAGAACAACCCTCAGAACACGGCCAAAGAGCCCCAAAAACCCACAACAACCATTAGATCCTGGCCGTGAAACCCTTCGTGAACACATTGTCTGAAGGTTGTTCATCTTCAGAGAACAGGAGTCAGAACTCTGTCTGTGCTCTGGTGTCTTGACTCTTTGTTTATCAGTCTCAAGCTGCAATCCTCCTATCTCTACTTGTACTTCGCATTTGCCTGTAGGGCAGTTGAGTACCTCTGCTTTTGTTGTTGTTGTCTTTTGTCATTTTCCCATCCCCACTGAGTAGCTGAGTCACTCTGTCTATTGCTACTCATGTTCCTAAAGAATGCTCTTGTTTTGTTTTGTTTTCAGTGTCTCTCAATAATGTTGGCTCATTCTCAGCTTTTCCCTTTCTACTGTAACACCATCCCTGCAATTCTTTGCTACTCTGTACTCTTCCTTTATGTACTGGCCTTCCTTCCACTTCTTATCTCTCTCTCTCTTCTATACAGTAGTGCCTCACTAGACGATGATAATCCATTCCGCTGAAATCGCTGTTTAGCGAAATCATTGTCTAGCGAAAAGCATTTCCCCATTGGAATGCATTGAAACCTGTTTAATGCGTTCCAATGGGGAAGAATCGTCGTTGTCTAGCGAAGATTGGCCATAAGAAAGCCGCTTTGCGAACCGCCGATCAGCTATTTAAATCACTGTCTTGCGATGATTAGGCCCCGAAAACACCTGTTTTGCGAGCGTGGACGGAGCTGTCAAAATTGTTGTCTAGCCCAAATCGGTTTGCAAAGCAGGGACCAAACATTGTCCAGCGAAATTCCCCTATAGGAACCACTGTTTTGCGAATCTCTATAGCAATTGCAAAAAGTCAATATCTAGCAAAAAAAAAAAACCTCTGTCATGCGGGGTAACTGTCTAGCGAGGCACCACTGTAATTCTAAAGAGCTAGATGAGTGTAATTGAGTGAATTGATAAGATCAGCTTTCACATGCTGTGGTTATTTTTGTAGGAAAGGGTCTGTTAGTTTAAACCTTGATGTGTGGGGGGTGTATGTGATTTGTTTGAAAGATACTGTCATTTTTTTTTCATCTAATGGCTAGGATGGAAAAGATTTCCACTTTTATATTTCTTGAATTTCCTTGAATTTTTTGTCCAGAAGTCCTGGACTGTGGTTTAACCATCACTCTGCAGGTTAAAAAGAAAAAAAGGTTGTTGTGGAATATAGTATGAGAATTCCAACTTGATCAATGTTAGCAGTAGGCTTAGGTTTATGGTTCTGTATACGATTAGGACTTAAAATGTACACTTTCTCTTTTGTATGACTTTATGGTTAAATTTGGCTTTATTTGTTTCTTCATCTATTCTGTCAGGCAAAAAAAAAACACACACAAAAAAACCCCCAAGACAAAATGTTTTGACACCTTAAAGACTAACTGCAATATTTTAATGTGAGCTTTCCTGGAGAAGTCTTCATTGTGTTATCTTAAAAATTGTGAGACTACCTGTTAGTTCTGCTCTGATCTCAGAAACACTGCTTTAATGACTTTAATGACTTTTACTGGTATAAATAAATTGTCTTTGAAGGATATTAACTGATGGACACTTGTTCCTACAGAAGATTTATGGAAACACAGCTGAAAAAAATTCCCAGTGAAGCATTCATCGGTCTGCCCAACATCTCCAGAATGTAAGTTCACTCTCTCCACTGAATATCTCCTTAAAATTAAATTGTTGTTGTTTTTTAGCCGTTAAGTCATATCCGACTCTTTGTGACTCCATGGACCAGAGCACGCCAGGCCCTCCTGTCTTCCACTGCTTCCCGGAGTTGGGTCAAATTCATGTTGATAGCTTCAATGACACTGTCCATCCATCTCGTCCTCTGTCGTCCCCTTCTCCTCTTGCCTTTACACTTTCCCAACATCAAAGTCTTTTCCAAGGAGTCTTCTCTTCTCATGAGATGGCCAAAGTACTGGAGCCTCCGCTTCAGGATCTGTCCTTCCAATGAGCATTCAGGGTTGATTAGGTTGAAGATTAGGTTGAAAAATAGAGCATAAAATTAGGAGAGCATGCAAATAATCTGGACAGCTCAGGTTATTGATCCTTTTGCATTCTCTTCAGGAGTAACGACTACATCAGCAGAAGAGAAAAGCTAGCTCGAATAATGAGGGCAGAGAAACCTCCAGCAGGCAGCCAGGCAGCTAGTGGAGGATGCAATGTTGATGGCATTGAAGCTAACTTTTGTTAGTACTGTCCAGAAGGTGGTAATGGTTGAAGGTAGCAGGAAAAGAGGAAGACCAAATATTAGATAAACTGACTCCCTAAAGGAAGGTACAAGCTTGAGTTTGCAAGAGTCGAGCAGAGCTGTTTAGGACAGGACATTTTAGAGATCACTCATGCAAAAGGTCGCCATACGCTGGAGTTAATGGCACGTAACAACAACTGTTGTCCAATGGTTGGTTGTATAAACTGATTATTTCTGCTAATCTTCAAATTAATATGCTAAATACTGTTTAGCTAATGCCTGTGCCCTAACAGAAGAGTAATGTTTGACCCTTGGACAGTAAAGTGGGATGGGGTTTAAACAGTCATGTGCCATCAGTTGTGTTGATGCGAGGGTGAAAAGAATCGGTAAATTAAAATAATCATGCTCAAAACTAATTGTCACCAAACAAGCAGCAACTAATTTTATTTTAATGTACACAAAAGGAAATAAGAACAATGACTAGAAACATAATATAGTTGGCTTTAGTGACGATAGGAAACCCTTTTGTAGGTCCAAAACACAGGAGATCATACATTTGCATTTCCTCCAAGTGTACTTGTTAGTATAACGAACTAATCAACAAGTACAGATATGGTGAATGTGGCATGTTATTTTCAAATTCATCTTTTGACTTTCTGAACCATGTTTCCCACACAAAGGATTAGGAACATTGTACCATTCAGCAATCACCATGAAATGGCTTTTGAGATGAACAGGAAGATTTCTCAAGATGACCGTGCTATCTGGTGTCTGGATTACGGCAGGTGTACACAGTTTGACCCCAGTGTATCCAAGTCATGATCTTTATATTCCCAAATAAAAATGAAAAAGAGGCTTTTGTATATATGGAAGTACGTATATGAGTGGGAGCTTTGTTTGCTCTTCTATCATTCCTGATCCCAAAGCAAGAGTGTCAATCTGATTTTTCTCCTGTCATGTTTATTCCATGTCATATCCTGCTGACATATAAATCAGCGAGCAGCATTAAGAACTGAACCATGCCCCATGTGTAAAGTCTCATCCTTTGTCTATTTAACTTTACCTTGGACAATTAATGTAATAGAATTTGGGAATTACATGGTACAGAGAGAATGTTGGGAAACTGATCTCTCCACTCCCCTTTTGTTCACAATCAAGTAATGTAGATAAAATGGATTGTGATTATCCTTTTCAATACAGTGGTGCCTCACAAGATGAATGTAATTTGTTCTGCGAGTAGCGCTGTCCTGCGAAATTTTCGTCTTGCGAAAAGCGGTTTCCCATAGGAATGCATTGCAATGCAATTCCTATGGGAACTTCGCAAGACAAAAATAATTCATTTGTCTTGTGTGGCATCAGTCTTGTGAAAAATATTCATCTTGCAAAGCACGGCCATAGAAGAAGCCATCTTGTGAGGCACCACAGAGATCGCAAAAACCATTCATCTTGCAGGTTTTTCATCCCACGAGGCGTTCATCTTGTGAGGCACCATTGTAATGTGTCTGATATTTTTAACAAATATTTCATTGAATGTTTTAATAAAATTCCCAGAATACTATTGGTGTTCATGTCAGGTTTGCATAACTTGTTGCATCTAAGTGTGACTAAGTGTGTATCTCAGTTGTGCAGCTGCATGTACGACTAGGCAAGTGGCTTGGACATGCCCCAGCACCTCTTCAATTAACCACTATTAGTGGCAGCCAGTTACACAAACCTTACATCAACAACAGTAGGATTCTCTCCACTGTATTTTCATCTGGAAGAAATTTGTTCAGATATGTTTTTATCACATAGGAACAGAATGGGAAAGTGAGGAAAAGCTGTGCAAAAGTACTTTCACCATAATTTCCCCATATATTTATTGAACTGCATTTAATGACTGATCTGAGCATGAAATCATGATAAAATGGAATGGGCATTATACTACATAGGAAATATCAAAAGCAAAGGAAACAATGGCCTGATTGGAACAATGCCACTGTTTACCCTTGTATGCACAATCCTCTTCTCCTTCAGTAAGATTATGAAAATGAGATTGGAAGGATTTGCTTCCATTTTCAGAACACGTATGTCCAGAGAGGGAACTGTATTAGTTTTCTCTATGTTCACTTTAAAAAATATATTATAAACCAGAATTAGAAGTTTGCTATAGTTTAGTGTTACACCTGAACATGGTTCAGTTCGAATGTATGACCATCCTTCCATTTTATTTTTCCTATACATAGATATATCAGCATTGATGCAGTGTTGCAGGTGCTAGAAGCGTATTCTTTCAACAGTTTAAACAAAGTCACTCACATGTAAGTATCAAAAATTAATCCTTATCAGCAACCATATATTGAATTATTCAACTCTGTCCATTAAAAAAATATTGCTTGAATTTTCCGTAGTTTTCTCATGCCATTCTGCTTCCCTCTGGCTGTCTCCATGCACAAGTCAGATAATGAAACTGTTACTTTGGGAACATGGAAGGCTACCATTGGGGCTGTGGACCAGCTGCGCTTAAACACACCAGCACTGCTTGTGAGACCTAACTATAATTTATATGCAGTTATATTGATTTTCACAATAACATCAGTTAAAAGTTCTTGCCTTCTAGGCTAGGCAATCATAGTATTGTGGAAATTTGAGGTGACCGACTGTTGACCCATCTTCAGTTTGCCCTGTGGTATGACACAATGACTGAGATCCTGTTGCACAGCTCCACATGTGCAGTGGTGACGGTGTCAGCATTAGTGGCAGATCACCACTAATTCAATCACTACTGCTTCAATCACTACTGCTTCCTTTGCAGATTTAAGAGTGCATGTCACTTTTTCACATTGTGAACAAGTCATGTGCATCCCAAAAGTGTCTTTAATCATTGGTGATTTGCCACTGATTATGATGTCATCTCTGTTCCACACACTGAGCTGCACAACAGGATTTCAGCCAACAAATATAAGTGCAATTAATCCTCATTCAAGCAGACTGGACATTTTTAAACCTCAGAATAATGTTCTATTGAAGAAACCACAAGACCTATAAAAAACTATACTCCAAAAAGTACCAGCCATTTGCCATGTACAACATTTTTCTAATAGGGAAAAAACAACTGGAACAAATAGTTGTCTTAACAGAACATTTGGGTTTTGTCATTGGTTTTGCTTCTGACCTAATATATTGGTTCAATAAACATCCCATGGTGTTTTTTGGCCAGTCAGGATGCAACTCCCTGCCAAACCCAGCATATTCTAGTTCTCAGTAGGCTGGCTCCATTCACAGGGATGATGGAATTTTCACTGGGTTTGGGAAATACCAGACGTGCTAACCCAAACTACATTGCTAACCCTAACTCTTTTGCTAACTCTCATTACATGAGAGCTGTCTTGGGTCTCCTTATTGGGAGAAAGGTGGCCTATAAACAACAACAACAACAGCCTTGACATAGCAGACATAGTAGTAATAGAAGGAAGAAATGTCTGGATCATTGATATTGCAATTCTAGGGTATGCCAGAGCTGAAACTAAAGAATTTGAAAAATTAACAAAATAAAGAGATCTGGCAATCGAAACATCTTGTTTGTGAATAAAACATACCTCAGCAATCCCCATCATCATTGGGGCTTTCAGAACAATATCAAGAAATTTTACACAGTATTATAAGCAGTTGCAGATCTGAGAAATAACATCAACACACCTACAAAAATGGCAATACTAGGAGCAGTAGATATACTATGTTGATATTTAACGGAAACTAATGTTTTTGGTTAAAATTTGTGTCTGTTATATAATACCAGTCAATCTTTTTATAATTTCGATTGCCTAAGCCTTGTACTTTTGAATAATAAAGACACTGGAATCCCCAAGAGTCGTAAAATATCCCAAAGGACATTCAATGCAAGGTTTTTTTTTGTTTTTAAAATCCTCCTGGATTAAGGCTCATTACATTTGTCGTGTTTTGATGATTGTAGACAAAAAGGACACTTGCTAAAATGTATTAAATTAAAAGGGCCAAAGTCGACCATATTCATAGTGCAATCCTATGAATCTTTACATTTAAATTAGTCTCATGCAATACAGTAGAGTTATGAACAGGATGCTGAATGAATAAACGTAGAGGTATCTCCTGGTATATACCCTATAACAGTGGTCCCCAACTTTTTCCCAACCGTGGATTGGTTGGGGTGTGTGGCATGCTCGCATACCCTATAACAGTGGTCCCCAACTTTTTTCCAACCGTGGACTGGTTGGGGTGTGTGGCATGCTCATGGGAGGGGTGGCATGCTCGTGGGGGTGTGATGTGCCCACAGGAGGGTGGAGCATGCTCACACACATGCGCATGTGGTGGGCCGCTCATGCACATGCTTTTGGCAGAACTTGCAGGGAGTCCACTTGCATGCATGCGCACAGCGAGCTCACAAGGGGTGGAGCACACTTGCATGCGTGCAAGCAGGGGAACTCGTCGGGGGCAGGAGATCTGTGTCCGTGTTCTGGTCCTGCCGCTGATATCATTCCAAGATATCAGTGGACCACTGCCAGGTCATGGATCGGGAGTTGGGGACCCCTGCCCTAGAAGACAGAAATAAAATTCAAAATGACCTTGATAGGATGGAGCACTGGGCCAAAAGCAACAGAATGAAATTCAACAGGGACAAGTGTGAACTAATGTACCTCAGAAAAAGAAACCAATTGCACAGTTACAAGATGGGGGATACCTGGCTCAGCAAAACTACAAGCGAGAAGGATCTTGGAATTGTTGTAGACCACAAGCTCAATATGACCCAACAGTGTGATGTGGCTACAAAAAAGGCAAATGCTATTTTAGGCTGCATTAATAGTTTCCAAATCCTGGGAGGTGGCTAATCCCCCTCTATTCAGCACTGGTTAGGCTTCACCTTGAGTATTGTGTCCTGGACACCAAGAAGGACGCTAAGAAATTGGAACAAGTTCAGAAGAGGGCAACAAGAATGATCAAGCCTTATGAGGAAAGGCTGAAAGAAAGCCTTGAGAAAAGAAGGCTGAGGGGTGATATGATAGCACTTTTCAAATATCTGAAAGGCCGTCATACAGAGGAGGGGCAAGATCTGTTCTCGATCATCCCTGAGTTCAGGACACACAACAATGGGCTCAAGTTGAATATCAGGAAAAACTTCCTAACTGTTAGAGCAGTACGACAGTGGAACCAGTAACCTTAGGGGTTGGTGAGTGCTCCAACACTGGAGGCATTCAAGAAAAACTT